CCCCCCCTTTACCGCTCCCCAACCTCACGGCTAATACTCCAGCCGTGAGCTTCAGCCCCTCTCCTTCAGCCCTTCACGGGAAATTGAATTCAGCAGCCATTCCACCGGCTGCTCCCTGCTTTGCCCAAGCCTGTGAAATTCAATTCCAGGCGTTTTACTTAATTGCCTAATTAAAATCCATATTAAGGCAATTAATCACTAGCATTTGATGATAATTTGAAATTCAAAAGGGCTGGATACGTTGGCATATGAAAGGAAATTTTTTCCTTTTATGAAAGACTGAATTTCCTACAGGTTTTAAATAAAATCTGTTATTTAAACCTGTGGGGCCCACTCCTTTAATCCCCTCTCAACTCTTTCTTCTCCCTCTTGGCCGGCCCATGCATGGAGCCATATCTCTCTCCTAATCACCCTATTAACTCCACACAATTAATCCCAAATTCCCCCAATTAACCGCCCATTCTCCCTCCTTGATTTAATTTGATTTTCAGATTAAATCCACCCTATTAAACCTTCCATAACTGAAATTCCTGCAAAAATTTCCTGCAGCCTTTCTTTTCTTCCCTCCTTGGCCGAACTCTCTACCCACCCATTCTTGGCCTTTTCTCCTCCAATGCCCGAGCCGCCATTCTCCGGCAACCTATCCAAGAACGACGATCCAAGGTCCATTCTTCCTCGGAGCGACCTCGATTCTAAGGTGGAGACTCTTCTTCCGCTAAAGCCTAGATTAGTTGAGCGTATGGGCTCCAAAGGTGAAAATTCTCAGTATTAAATTGTGGATTCTTGTGGCCATCGTAGTTTTACAATTATTCTTTGTGTTTCTTGAATTGTTTGGTTGATTGATCTTGCTCTACTTTGCCCAAGCAAGTTAAAATTTAAGAGTTCTAAGGATCACTCTTTTATGACAATGATAATTTTATGTTGGGTTATTATGTTACAATTGCTCTCTTTAATTTCTTAAAGTAACTCCTCCACCACATGTTTGTTTCACATCACTGGATTTCTCAAATCTGCAGGACTTTATTGAACCATCAAATCCTTCTAAAATCCTATATAACATTATTGCTGCCTTGAATAAGAAAAACTATGAGTCGTCGTTTCCACAAATTGGTACATGAAAAAATCTGCTCAGCATGGTGACCCTTTTTGGTTTGTAGTAGTTTTAGTTGGCGTTGCCTGGAATGTTTGCTCAACTGGCACATTAGGCATGGTTAGAAAACTGTGCGTAAAATACCTTTGCTAACTTTTCTCTTTTCAAGTCTTTGGTGTGTATCACAAACTACATTTCCACTTGAGTTAAGTCCTCAAAAGAATAAGTCTCAATTTTTTCACAAGCATCCGTCTGTGCATGAGTCCATATGTCATGAAAACAATGAAACATTATTTCCTATATAATTGTAATGGTGGAAAATTATGCCAATGACTTCGATTTGCTATCAGAATTTGCATGAAGTAATTTCATTCAAAAAAACAAAAAAAAAGTACAAAGCAGAAATATAGTGTCGACTGGAGCAATAATTTTTGCTTGGTTACTTCTGTAGATTTGGTTTCTGTTGATTTCTTGTTTCCGTTTTTTCGTTGGGCCATGCTTTTGCCTTTGCAATCCGTCATGAAAGATGACTTTAATTTTACATTTGAAGAGATATGTTTTGAAACAAATTGTGAAGGAAGTTTTCTCCTTTTAGGTGAATAAAATTCCACGTGAGCTCCTATTTGGACTTCATTTTTAAATGGCTAGTTGTTTCTATTCTCTAGAAAGTCCAGTACTACATTATATTTGTACAATGTGTACATCTGGTTCTGGAATATTTTACTTTTTGTTCTTCCTTAACCTTGGCCAGTTCACATCTCAACTGATTGAATGTTCCGAACAGTTTAGCTTGTTTTTCCTTGTTTTCAGACCAAGCAGTGTGAGGGGATGATAGGATAGGCCAAGATGATGATTCATGGTTGAAATTTTCTTCTTGGGACTATGGCCTAGTATCTTTAATAATTTTATGCCTTTGTTGTTTCACCTACTTCCACAAGAGTTTTAAGAATGTTTGTAATTTTATTTCAACTGATGTATCACAAGTTATCAGCGCCCTATGGTAGGTAATTTTGCACTGTTTCTCCAGGTGATGGAGGACTTTGTCCCCGTAGTTCAGAGAGTAAAATGCATGGTTTCCTCTCTTGGAGGTCCGAAGGGAGAAATATGCTATGCAAGAGAACAGGAAGCAGTTTGGTTTAAGGGAAGGCATTTCATGCCATCCGTATGGGCTAACACCCCGGGAGAAGAACAAATCAAGCAACTTAAACCTGCTGTTGATTCAAGGAGGAGAAAGGTTGGAGAAGAATGGTATACCACTACCAAGGTTGAAGATGCATTACTCAGGTTAAGTCGCCTGGTTTGGAGGCATTACTCCTTTCAAATTGTTGATATTCCCTTTTTTAACCTTTTTGACTTATAACAGTGCAAACTTCTGCTAGTTGAATGTATTTTTGCTTGCACTGTGATTAACAATTAATGTTATGTTCATCCCCGGATGTAGGTATCATCATGCTTGTGCTAAGGCAAAGGTTGATGTTTTGGAGCTTCTAAAAGAACTTTCTGCGGAAATGCAAGATAAAATAAATATTCTTGTTTTCTCCTCCATGATGCTTATAATAGCAAAGGCGCTTTTGGCCCATGTTAGGTATGGTTCCCTTATAATTAAGATGTCTACTTGAGCTTTTAAGTTTTTAAAAGCAGTACTTGATTTCCATGAATTTATCTGTCTTTCCTTTCTACAATGTAAGGTTGGCCGCAGAGTGGAGGATTCATTAGGAAATCACAAGAAATGGCAGAAAAGTATATGAAAACAATGAATTTTAAGTTGTAGATGCTTAATTCTTTTAATCCATTGCCTATTCAGATTAGTTATTGTTTGACTATGTCTTCTTTATACAGTTAACATAGTCAAATCAGATTTGTCTAATTACCCTTTACTGATACTGTAGCCTTACAGAATGTAAAGTTACAAATATTGAGCATTGGATTTCGGTTTAAGGGTGTTTTCATCAACATTATCATTTATTGACAGTGTTTTTTATATTTAGTGGATTATTTTTACTTTGTTGCCCTTCAAGTAATTGCATTCATTCTTTTGTTATAAATAAGCAGCCCTATTACCGTGTAAGATGCATAAGATTTTTATTCTTTAACATGCTATTAGAAAGGGCTTAATCGTAACCCTAGATGCCCCTTCCCCTTTCTCATTGTCGATTCAACTCCTGCATCGTTCACCACAGCCACATTGTTTATCCCAATCTTGATTCCCCTGCACACCCGCAAGCTCACACTGTCACTCATCCCTCTTTGCTGTTCTCCATCTTCATTCAAGCCTATACACATGCTAACTCGATTCTGAAGTTGTGCTCACTTGCTCAATCCGTCACAACTGACCTCTATGTTTGCTTTTGTTGTCCCATACATTGAACTCGCTGTCACTTACCCACTTTCTAGTGTACAGTCCTTCCTACATCGCCTTGTCTCAATGAGTTGTGTTAGCTACTTAGCTCTTCGATTCTCTAACGTACTCTCAATAATGCTAGTGTCTCAATAACATCTCAATGACTCTAAACCTCTTTCATGCATACAATAATTTAGTAGCACTCCTTTATGGTCAAGGACCTTTTTCTTTATAGTCTGTTCTCACATTAAAATGCCATATATTCTTCCTAATCACGATGTCACTGTCATGTTTTCAAAATGAAAAGCATTTGACTATGCCATTCTTTTTTTTTCTTACTATATAGTCTTGAATCTTCTATTACATTTGTTTTCATATTTCAAGGCATTTCCAAGAATATAAGAAACTTTTTTTGTTCCACCTTAGAAAGTAATATCTTTCTTGTCTACATCCTTTATTTTGAATTTTTTTAAATTAATTTTTTTTCCCATGAAAGAATACTAAAATACTCTGGGTAAGACTCTCTGTATCAAGTTTGCTTTGCTAGATTGAAATCAGGCTAAGGTCTTAGATTAAGGAGAGAGTTGCTTCCGATATACAGTTTGGTAAATGGGATGAGCTTCTACTGTACAAAACATTTACCAATTTATTAGTTTGAAATAAATAGAATAAAGTGTTTCTTTCTACAATTTTTTTTATGCATCGTTCCTTCACTTTATATGCACAATCTTTGATCATGAGATATTCTAGAATCCCTAATATTACAAATATTTTCTTGAAAGTTCTTGTCACTGAAAGGGTTGTAGATGAACCGTGTCAAACTGATTACTTCCTTGCTCATGTTTGTTTGTTTATTTTCGTATTGAGTTCTTGCCTTAATCAATTTTTAATTGAACTTAATTAATTATATGTTTGATCTAATAATTTATTGAAGAATTTCTTAATTAATTATTGTGGGCCCCGAAAATTCAGCCATGGCCTCTGCCCGCTTGTTTTTCTTTGGGGGAGTTTTAACGCATTAAGTTCCGGGATAAATTTTGGGAAGGCAAATGGGTTTGTAGATAAGACACTACCCAGAGATTTCGCCCTCATTTTGTGAGGACTTTATGATCTGAGTTCTGGTTCCCTATAGGCGTAAGTCCCTATAGTTAATTACCCCTCCCAATCATGAGATAGAACTTTCGATTAAGGCTAGTAGTCAATCAGATACGTAGAGATACGTGTTATCTGGCGTATAGTAGCAGCATGGGCTTGAGAACTGGAAGTTTGAAGGGTTGGAAGATTTGATATTTAAAATAGAAATTTCACCATCTTGCACTTAAAGCGGATGGTGGGGGAATGGATGATGGACCCGATCAAGATCTCATGGTTCCGTCGTCCCAGGCCATCGTGATCCCTGGTCTACTAAGTCAGAGGAGGTAGTTGACCCAACCTGATAGAAGGATCCTTGTCGGCAATCATGGGTTGCTTCGTCCAAGGGGACCTTGTAGACCTGGGGTGAATGTTTGTCTAAGGGGACAAATTTGAATCCACCTTTAGCTAATAGAGGGCTTTATGCCCTATCAATCATATCCTATTTATTCATATCTCAAGGATTTGATGCCGGCTCTAGCCATAATCGGTATTTTGTGTTGTCATTTGGTGGCAAAACCACTCGGTTCAGAGGGCCCCGGATCATAACCGTTTATCCTGCGGTGCCATTTGGCAGCAAAACCGCCGGTTAGAGGACACATACCACGTCCTTACTGGCAGGAGATTGTTTGAGAATGGATCATGGTGATATTTTCAACTAGGCATTAACTTTATATGAGTTAGAAGTGAATTTTAATTTGTCCACCTTAGCAAACTATTGCGGAGGGTGGATAGATTTTGCTTTAAGTGATTGATAGTTGAATTTTGATTTTAAATATATTGGGATTTGATGATTATTGGGATTTTGGATTTTCGAGCATTTGAATGGCATTTTGAAAGTATTTATAAACCCCTCCGGTTGAGATTTGCATTTAACACGGCCATCATCAGGGTAAATATGGGATCATTCATTGACTAAACTTTGTCGACCATATCAACTTGCCGATAGGAAATCGGGTTTCGTAGGTTTTATGCCTTTATTAGTGAATTTTATTGATTATAGGCCTTGAAGGCCTAATATGAATGTATTAAAACAAATATACTGGTCCCCTCAACCGTATATTTGCTTGATGGTTTGAACCCTCTCAACTCCTATTGATCAGCATAGAATGACCGGGTTCGAACTTGAATTCAATTATTGACCCGCGCAGCATCCCTAGACGTCACGTGTATACCCATAACACGCTCACCGGGGCCCATGCGGGTTGTGATTGTATTTACCCGTTTAGTGTATCTATTTGCATACATATTACAGTGCATGTGCAGGGGTATTTCTGGGACATTCGACGGGTCTTTAATGATGGCTCGTCGTTATCTGCAGATGAAATGTTGTATGCATGATAATCTTTTTACAGCCACTTGTGAGCAAACGGTAGTATCTTCGGTCTTCTATGATCCTTTTATCGATATTCTCAGATGAATGCGATATGAATTACTACATCTTCTCGCATGACTGCTATGAAGAATAGCATAAACTCTGACTTTGTTACTTTTTGGAGATGAATATATCCACTTGTTCTTTGAAGTTGGTAATAGAACACCATTGCACTTGTTGTACATCAAACATGTATCGTAGAAGACTGAGGCATTCATCTGTATTTTGACAAGTGTTGATTGTAGGATCCTTCCATACCCACTTCCCCTTTGCTACATAGCTTTTGGATGCTTTCATTTGTTACCATTTCCTCTATGTTTTGCTTATGATCTTTCATATTCATAGTTGCTATTTTCCAATAGACTATATCAGGCATGGTTGCTTATAGATAGAATACTGTGCATTTATTTGCAAATTAGCCATCATTGGTTGAAAGGAAGTTATCTCTTTCATATTCTTCCTTCTTTTCTTATAGACATGCTACATCATCAGGTATGGTAGCTAACAAATCACCATGTTCATTACATTGCTTGCGGGTTTGAATGTATTTCTTGATGTATTGATGTTGAACACAAAGTACTGTCATATTCATTAGGAGTATTTTCAATGACTCAACACATTCATCATGCATTATTTATGGCCACTTATGTATGACCTGCTGCATTTATTATAAATTCTCTGGCATTGTGAGTGGGCCACTGTATTGCAAGTTTCTTGATTCATACTTATAGGTGAATCACATTTGTTGGATATTTCCTTATGTTTGTGTAAGCAACACGCATACACTTGACAAGCTAATTGGCATTAGTAGAGTTCTCAGTGTCTTCTCCACAATCTTCTCAAATTCTTTGTAGACAAGCTACACTCATTGCATGTTGTGCATTCTTGCTTACAAGATGAACTGCAGCCTCCCATGTGTAATATTGATGCTTGCGCTTTAATTAACAATGATAATCTCTTAACATCTGTTGAAAGTTTTTATGTTGTTGCTTGCAAATCATGTTAGTGCATTCATCTAGTCTCCCTGATTACTTTTATCGAAGCCTCCGTGAAGGTATTCATAGGATGTTTGTCATCCTCATTTGATTCTTCTCATATATAACTATTGAATGCAATGCATCATCATATTCGTTGTGCATCAGTTCTTTCTGCTTGTAGGAGACTCGTGTATTCATTTCAAACTCATTGAATGCATCAATCTCATGTTTGTCATATATTGCTTTCATTTGTCAGTGTGTTCTTCTTTGGACATTGAACTATTATTGATGACATAAGTACTATCGCATTTCTTCATATTCATTAACCTTGCAATTCTGTGGAAAAAAAAAAACCTTGCAATTCTGTTGCTTGAGTCATGTTAGCATTACAAATCTTTCAGCCTCCTTAGGAATAGATCGTAATTTGCATGCTGACTTACATTGACTGTGGAAGGGCCATACTTCAATATGAGAATAGCAGCTTGTAATATTAAGAATGTTGCAGAGGATGTGCTTGGAGTATCAAAAGGAAAAGCTTCTAATAATAAAAATAGTTTGTGCTGGAATCAAAATGTGCAAGAAAAGATAAAAAAATAAGAAACTCTGATAAAAATTGGTTTAGATGTAAAAATTTTGAAAATTGGGAAATATATAAAGTTGTCGGTAAGGTGTCTAAGAAAATAATCTGCGATGCAAAGAATTTAGCTTTTAATAATTTATATAATAGTAAGGATTTAGTTAGGAGCAGTAAGGATTTACTA